AGTGACAGTCCACGTTCTACCAGAAGAAGTCAATAAAGAAGCTGAGGTCACTCTGGTGTGTCTGGTCTTCAGTCCTGTGCTGCAGGATTCCTACATCGCCTGGTCAGAAAACATTGAAAAATCCCCTGGCATCTATAAGGATGGCATTAACTTTCCCCCACAGAAGACCAAGGATGGCTACTTCGTAACAAGTGTTTACACCACAACCAAGGCAGAGTGGGAGACCCCTGGGAACGTGTTTAATTGCCACGTCTGGGTTGCTGGCAGCAATTCGTCCATGAAATCACGAGCTGTGTCTAAGGCCCAGGGTAACTCCCTTGAATGTGACAAATAGTACATTGAGCTTTAAATGTGGTATTTTGTGCTGATGTGTTGTTCCGTCATTGTGTGTACTCTCTGCCATGGGAACCTGTGCACTCTGTGATGTCATCAGTCTTTGTGATTGTAAGAAATAATCAGAGTCAACATGTCAGTTTAGTTTTGTTTGTCATGACTGTTTGTGTTTCAATCTGTCTTTGTCACAATGTTTGACAGCTTGAGAAGTGTGCTGACTGTTTCAAATAAATGTTGCATGGGGACCCTTGTGTTACATGTTCATGAATTACTTCAGTATTTTAAAACAAGCTGAAAACAGTATACAGTGACTCTGTATACTGTTCTCTTCCACTGTTCAACTGGAGAAATGTCCACAAAAGACGTGTGATCAAAAAGTGAATAATGCTCGATTCCAGTTTATGAGCACTATTTAAAGGAGACAAACGTCTATCAGTTATCTTAATAAAAACCTGTGTTTACACACACACACACACACCTCTCATCTAACCACCTATACCTTCCTCTTCTTAGATTTTGATCCAGAGTCAGAACTGAGTTGTGCTCTGAGCTGCACAGATGAAGAGGATGAGTTCAGCAGTCTGTGGTCCACAGCCTCCTCCTTCATATTCCTCTTCATATCCTCTCTCTTCTATAACATGATATTCAGCCTGGTCAAGGTAAACATGCAGGCCTGTTCTGCATTTCAGTCATACTAAAACCTCTGTAGGATATAATACAGAATTTATATATTCACTGAAAATAAGTAAACAGTTTGATCAAATAAAGCTCAGTCAGGCAAACAATAAAAATCACAAACATAAAAGACAGTTTTATGCAGTAATACAAATGAATGCATCCATTTATAAAACCTGACAAAAGAGACAAAAACCAGAACAATTTAAACTGATTATCACCAATATATCAACGGTTAATTGACACCAAATCATTGTTTCTGACTGGTGTATTACTCTATGTGCCAATAACATCGTGATAAAGTAAAAATGTGACAACTGGGATATTTCAGCTTTATTGTGCTGATTTTGATAAACACAGTTTCACAGTAAAGTGACGTAAAATGCATCACTTCATTTCACTGCCTCTGTTCTGAAGTTGAGCACGGCCAACCAGCACATGTGCCCGATCAACATCTAGCAGCAGCAGAGTGAAGAGTGTCTCCAACCAGAGAAAATGTGCTGGTTTGTGTGTTTTAAATGCTCCACGGCACATACATAGATATTAACAATTAATTGAATTAAACACATTACAGATAGCATCTTTATTTAACACATCAACAATAGTGAAGCTGTCCTGCATGAGGATGAAGCTTGTCATACTAATAAGTTTGTTTTTAAGTTCTTAAGAAATGTTATTAAAATGAACCAATCATCCAGCCCAACAGTTCATATAATTGTTATAGAACATCAGTGCAGTGAATCTGCTGGCCACAACTATCGACTGTATAGAAGAGCTGGGGGAACTCCAGATTGAAGTGGTCAAGCAAACTGTACAACTTTGACAAATTAATATATTTAATTGATTTATGTTCTGTTTTTTTTTTTTCAGATGAAGAAATAATAAAGAAGGAGAGAGATGCACAGTGAGACAGACTGCATGACTTTGTTTGTTTTGTCTTTTTATGTAGTTTTAAAAACGTGCAGAATCGATAATATACTGTAAATATTCCAAATCAAATGGTTCTCATGTAATGATTGACTGAGTCAGTGAAAATTGATTTCTCTGCAACCTGTAAAACTAAAAAATATAACTGTAATTCCTAATTGTTTAAATAAATGAATAAATATGTGCACTGTTGTTACATTATGTTTACAGAAGTTCTCAATTACTTTACACTTTAAGTTCCATTATCATGTGTTAGTGAAGTGTAGTATCAACTTTTAATTGATACATTAATAACAGATTTTACTGAAGTAGAAATAGATACATTCTGTCTGTGGTTATTCACATTGGTCATTTTGTTGATCCTATTTGCTTTTAATAGATATGATATTTACAATGTTTGTACAGCCTTTAAAAGTGAATATGAATATGAGTGATAGTGGACTTGTGACAAACATAAAGGGCTTTTGAGGATTTTGTTGTCGTTTGAGTCACAACTCTAGAACATCTAAAATAACACAACATCAAGTCAACATACCGTGAACTTCTGTTATCAGTTACGCTCTGAAGGTTTTTCAGTTTCCTGGCCTTTCTAAACATATCCTCTTTAGAGAGTCACTTCCCCCCTCTCTCTGCACCTCTGGGACCACACCTGTGGCAGCGAAACTTTGTAGAAACCATCAGATGAGCTACAAATAAACTTCCTCAAAGACTCATCTTTCACAGCATATATATTTGCATCTCAGCATGTATCCAGGCGTGAATTGGCTGACATACATACAGCAAACTCACATCTTCACAGACAGAAGCAACACTCAAGCCTTCAGAATAGTGTCAACATAAGCATTTTGAACAGTGTGTCACTGACTGCCACTGCTTGACTAATGGGATATTATAAGAGGGTGCAAAGTCTACCAAGAACTTGTATGATGTTAGGTTGTGATTCTGGATTTTAAAATGAGGCTGCCACAGGGATTCTTTACATCTGTAGTGGGTCATCAAGGCGGCCAGGCATGTCACCGGTGAGCAGCTGGAAACCATTAAGGACATTTACCATAAACAGTAAGGTTTCAGCAGAGACTGGGCAGAGACACTGGCTGACTGCATCCAGCTTATATAGTCTTGCAACCAGACCAGGTGAGCTAAATCTTCCTGATGACCCGACTCCACCTGCCAGGCTCCTCGAGGAGTTCACTCACAGGGTCGTCACACAACAAACACCAAAGGAAAACTTATATAAGATACAGTATAGTAAAAAGGCTGAATTATGCTTATATGTCACCTTTATAGAGTCTTTCCAGAGCTCCTTTTACATTAGAAAGTGAAACTGTTTTACACTTTTATTCTTGGAATCAGGTATTTCTTCCTGGATCTCAGTGAACTCTATCATGCTGTTCAATCACTTCTGGTCCCTGTAAAAAAAGTAAAGATTAGGAAGATTGTTCCTGTAATCAGCATTTCAAAAAAGAGAGACAACAACAAAACATTTATTTAGTCTTTCTTGACTCACTGTAGACTGCAGACTGATGGCTGACCAACTGACCAAATTTAAAACAGTTTTGTTTTTGATTTAAACATTCGTCATTGCTTTTATGTTTTATGTTTGTTATGTATTTGTATTTATCGACATTATAACAACATTATGTCATTGATTTTATCATATATTGTTTTTGTGTCTTTGAATCTCTTTTTCCCAGTTCAAAGGCCACAAAAATATTTACATAATACTGTTGTTCTTGTTAAAAGAATAGCTTAAAGGAGCATTTCACCCGTGGAAACATTTATTGAAAGTGGGTTATATATGTAGTCGAAATGTAACATACATTTTGAATTTGGTGCATATTTGACCGAGAAAAGACAGAAAGTGACTTTAGGGCGCATTTGTATTAAAGACAACAACTCCCACAATGTACAGCTCTGCAAGCCGCTCCCACTAACACTATCAAGGACTACAACAACGTAAATGTAAACCATTTATTTACAGAAATATATCAACAACCACAAAAATAAATATGTCAACAATGACAGTTATAGTTCCTCCTGAGCGTCCTCAACTTCTTGGTGTCCGCAGTACTGGCCATCTGGAAGAAACACTCACTTTAGAGTCAGACGTCCGTGTGTCCGTAGGCGCACAGCGAGAGCACAGGCACCAGCAGTCCGCCCCAGCTCGAGCCAGTCCGGGCTCCTCGTCCGCGACAGGCAGGTCCTCTGCCTCGGCTGCAGAAGCCTCAGCCGCCTGCTGTTCAGCCTCAGCTGCTCTTCGCTATATTGCGGCTCATAAAGGGAGCCACGAACATCTGATTCAACCATCATACTTTCGAAATTTCTTCCATATTACATTGATTACCATAGTCATAACGTCTGGCTCGACGGTGCCTCCGCTTAGCTTCCAAACAAGATGGCGGTTATATTTTTTTGTTTCTGCAAGTGAAGTCCCACCCACTGATCTGTAATAGGTCTGTAGCGTGAGTGAAAAAAAAATGAGGAAGTAGTGTTTGTAGTCTCACCCCCTCTACAGGGATATGAGACTTCCTGCTTCCAGTGACGCAAAATGACGATTTTTACATCACTGAAAGCAGGAAGTGCAACATTAAAATCTGTATTTCTCCCCTCTCAGGGGAAGTGAGGCAATGATGCACGACCATTCAAAAATATGACTGGGGTTCTAATGATACAAAGCTTAATGCAAATGGGTGAAGTGTCCCTTTAAAAATAAAATATAGCAGATTATGATGCCACAGTTTTATTATATATATATATATATATATATATATATATATATATATATATATATATAATTATATACATTATTATAGTCTGAAATAAATTATGGTAACCACCATTTAGTGGGTTGGTGTTTCATTGGAGAAGTGGAATATATTAATAGTTTTTAAAAAATACATAAAAACAAAGATACACTTATTGAACTATGAGTATGATGCAAAATGCAAATTCTCCAATTTATAACATAAAACATATTTTGTTATATTATAATTTGAGTTTTGTATTATTCTTACCCACTGCTGACAGTACAGGTCCCCAGAGTCTCCAGTGCAACATTTGGTTTTTGTATTAGGGTTTATCACTGTGATGACTGGGGTGGTCACTGTGATCTAGATCCATACAAAAACCTAAGAGCTATAGTCTTACACTCTGACATTCTTGTGATGGAAGAAAAGGACAGGACAAAATATTTCTAGTTCCAACTTGAGGTAACTACTGTGTTCATCTATTTTAATAAGCAAATTAGTCATTAAATATTAGTTAATTAGTAGTTAAAAGTCACAGTTAGCGCAAAGATGTAAATGTTACCGTCAAGTAAATTTTTAATTTAATTATTGATTTAGAATCAATACAAAGCACATCACACAGCAGGACACCAGGGTGTCATACTGACCAGGATTTCTGTTTATTTCAAACACTTAATGAGTTTTTAACACCTTTTTGTGGTACATCAGGTTTTTGTTCAAGCAGTGAGTGGAGATGTAGCACTGTGATGCTTATTTCGACTACTGGGGTCGTGGGACTCAGGTCACAGTATCTTCAGGTAAGTCACTGTTAAACATCATATTTTTATTTTACTTTTTAAAATGTGATTATTGTGATTATTGGCAAAGAAGTTTAACTAATGGTGTTATTCAGGTTTATACTGATGTTGGACAATAACTAGAAAACAGAGCCGACAGATGTTTTTAATGCAGCTGTTTCTTAGAAAGCCTTTGAAAAAATAATTCTTTGTTATTATCACTTAATGCAGGAGGGGGGTTTGTTTTTATCTTACATTTTATTCAGTTGGATTGTAATTGCTTATGATGAATGTCTGCATCCTTTTATTCACATCATTTACAAATAATAATTTATAACTGTGGATATTGATTATGTACCTTATTGTACCTGCATTTTTATATAGGAAGTCAATTAAAACATAGCAAATTACATTTTATTATTGTGTTTAAATACAGGTTCAGTATGCATTTTAATGAAACAACTGAACACTGAACAGGGACATAATTAAGTACACACTTTTATATCATGTGTAGTTTCTCTTTAAAATACCACAGGAGAAAGTGTCTTTTAAAGGACAGTATTTTCACTGTAGGTTCAATTGTTAATCATCTATTTTAGTTTTTGGAGGAATCGTTTCATACATAGTGATTTTTAATTCTTCCCAAAGACAACTGTATTTCTTTTATTTATAATATTATTTAACAATCAATTATTCCTTTATAAGTTAGGGGTGTCGTGATACACCAGTATTGATGATAACCGTCACAATAAATTAATGAAATAATGATATCACCTTAATAATATATGTATGATGAATAATCCAGCACCTCCTAAATGACTTCTATTTCTTTCCATTCTCTCTCTCTGATTTATACTCAGTGTAACTGTTCTTTTTGTTCACTTTAGTAGATTTATATCAGATTATGTCTACCTCCTCCCTACACTGGTTCTTTGAGTTTAATTTATTGGCCACAAAAAGAGACAAAACACACAAAAAAGTTAAAGATGAATTTGAGTTGTAGCTTTTTTCTCAGATTCTCTATAGATATCATGATAATATCGTTATTATGTAAATAATTTTGGCTATGACAATTGTGTAGTGAAAATCTGATATGGCGACAGCTTCAATAGTTACTGTTAAAAATATATCAGAAAGATTTTTAAGCTAAACTGTGTTTTGTTCCTTAAAAATGGTAAATAATGATTTATGTTTCAGTTTGTAAACCGTTTAAATCCTCCTACAATGAGTGGTGTTTTTGATGTTTGCAATTATGATTTTTTTAGTCACAGTCTTCATTATTGTTATTATTATTATTATTATTATGAATATATTTGTAGTATTAGAAGTGATAAATGTAAAACATTATTCATTACACATTTTCAAAAATGTGTAATGAACGTTCCGACTTCCCACGGAACTTTTTTTGGACCAATGAAAAGAAAAGATTATATTTCACAAAGTGCGCGCACTAAATATAGACTCGATTCCAAACTTAGATCTATCCTTGCATCTGGTGTCTGGTTGAGTGGCCCTTTAACCCTGTAGTACTAAGCTTGGCATCTTGCAGGGCCAGTGAGGCTTCAGGTAGCACCTGTGCAAAGAATAGCAGCATGCAACATCTGGCCGTCCTGTGGGTTACGTTGCAACCGTTGTTCTCTGTGTGAAAAGAGTGTCCCTCCACCTCAAGCTTGCTCAAAATCAGATGTTGATCAAGTAAAAACCAGAGTGATCATGCACACCTGTGACTTATATACCTGCACGTGCCAGTACTACTGGTGTGACTTAAATAATTATCCATGTCATCTGTTATATGTAATTTATTATATATAATATATTATAATATATTTATTATTGAGTTTAATTTTGGTGTATTTAATTACCATTTTTTTCCCCCTTTCTTAGGCACTTCAACTCGACCAACTGTATTTCCTCTGATGCAATGTGGTTCGGGGAGTGGAGACACGGTCACTCTTGGCTGTCTTGCCACCGGTTTCACACCCTCCTCACTGACCTATTCATGGACCAAAGGTGGGACTCCATTGACGGACTTCATTCAGTACCCTGCAGTACAGAAAAACAATGTTTATATGGGGGTCAGTCAAATCCAAGTGAGCAGACAGGACTGGGACGCAAGGCAGACTTTCCAGTGTGTCGCGACACATGCAGCGGGAAATGGACAGGCTGATATCGTGAAGCCAAGTAAGGACTATACTAAGTGATATATGAATGCCTTTTTAGAAGTTGATTTGAACCTAGGATGTTTACATGGTGGAGCTGTTAACATATTTTATAATAGTCCAACAATTTTAAGGTTTTTAAGCTATATATATTAAAAAAGAGTTAATGCTAACGATAACTGATAAATAATCTAATACATAGTTGGCTCATAAATAGCCATAAATAAGTGTTATTGCCGGATTACGTCAACAGTTATTCTCTATTACTTGGTTTTGTAGACTGACACGGCTGAACTAAACGTAAAAGAGAGCAATAATTCGCTTAACTGTTTTAGAAACAAATATACTCCAATCTTGTCTTTTCAAATCTATACATAAACAGAGGAGGACATAACAATACAGCTCTTACCAAATTAAATAGTGTGACAAATCCTTAAATATCTGTAGTTTTATTATTAGTCGGCCTTGCGGGCAAACCGAACAGTGAGGTGGAATGAGAAGGCTGAGACTTTCATGTATGTTCAGCTGCTGAGTCTAATTTATTCTTTACTAATATACTGTATGTCCTCTGCACCTGTCTAAGAACAGATTATTGCAATGTGTTCTGCTTCTTTAACCATACAGTTTCCATCTATCTGCATAGCTTAAAAGTCTTTTTTCACACATTTTGCTTAGAAACTCATAGTATCATGTAAGTAATTATCATTGTGCTTTTTTTATCACAATTACAAGCTTTGTGTCTTTTTGAAAATAAATGTTTAAATGAAGATAACCATTGATGTTGCTCCTCCAATTTTTCTCTCCTCCATTATTTTGAAATAGTTCATACTGTCTATAATTTGATCTATATAAGTTCAACACGTAATACTAAAATTCTATTAATCTATTAAAAACATTTTCTAACTATATTGTATATGTTGTGTAATGAGCTGTTCATGCTGATCACCTCTCCAGCACCCGGAATCAACAGCCCATGTTCAACTCAGTATGTAAATTCAGAGATTTCACAGTCGGTTAGTTCTCGAGTCTATTAATAATAGCCCCTGAGAACTAAAACCTTCAACAAAGTCTTGAGAAGCCATGTCAAATGTATCTGATAGCATATGTAAACTAATATGAGATATTTAAATGTGCACTCTGTTTCTCTTACTGGAATAGCCACACCTCACACCTGGCGTCTGTGATGCCCCGTTGCTCTTTGTATTGTTTCACTTCTGTATTTTGGTACTTTTTTGGGACCTGGGTGTTACTCAATGCTTCCGCTTGCTGCTAGTGCTGATCACTCTGCCCTGTCATGCTGCAACATCTGTGCAACAGGCTTCCAGCCCCATCTCCACCTGACTCGAGCAGACATTATAAAAGTACTCTGCCATCTGCCTAAATACAAAGACATTACACTTAGAATTGAGATAACACAGTTGGTTAGTTGACAAAAACCTGAAGGTATGTATAACTGAAGAGATTAAATCAGTGCATATTGTCCACATCCAACATTCATAATGAAACAAGTAAAAATAATATAACCTCTTCTCTATCTATCTCAGGACTTGTGTCTCCAAACATCACACTATACCCTGTCTGGGAAGGAGAAGTGGGGTCCTCACCAGTCAGACTCATCTGCACCCTAAGTGGCTTCTTTCCAGACAAACTGAGTGTGACCTGGCAACAGAACAACCAACGTCTAAACATTGTACCAATTCAAAGAAAGCTGCAGAGCCTGGAGGGAATGGAGAAAACCTTCAGTCTAAGCAGTGAGATTGAGCCAAATATGAAACGGTGGTCAGATGGCTCAAGTTTTACATGCAAGTCCAATCACAACAACAAGGAATCCATAAAAACAATAAGTTTTTGCCAAAGTAAGTATGTGCAGCTACTGTCTCATTGCACAATATGTAACAGATATATCATTCATGTTTTAAGATAAAAAAAAAAATCCATGTTGTCTTAAAATAAGTATTTTGAATAAGATGTATCATTTCACATTGAACATTTATGTTTTTTTCCTGCAGTCCATGCAAGAACTACTCCTTCTATTCATGTGGACATTCCCAGCTTCAGGACAGTAATGACAGCCAAGACTGAGGTGAAGGCAACATGTTCAGTCCTCACTGTGTTTGATGCCAAGGTGACCTGGCAAATAGATGGGACAGACCCAATCAAAACCCAAGTTAACCTGGCCAGAAACGCATCTCATTTAATAAGCACTCTGACGGTTTCCTCAAGTAAGTGGAAACAGCTGAGGGTTGTAAAATGTAAAGCTGAACATCGCTGCTTCTCATCCACTGAGGAGACCGTAAATGTTTCAGGTAAAAGGATTAGACAAAATAATAAGTGTGGAAATGCTGTGTTAGTGAAGTGACCAAAAATAAATACCTCTCCTTTTTTGTCTTTCTGCATTATCCAGAAAATGTCATTCGGACTCCATCAGTTGAGATCAGGAGATCTCTCCCAGATTTGCTGAAGGGAAACAGTGCTGTGCTGGAGTGTGACATCACGCAACTCTCCTCCAGTGACCTCTATGTCACCTTTCAGGCCAATGGGGTTGACATTTCTGACAGGCAGTATGTTGATCTTCCTGAAACCCCAGGCCTCCATTCAATCAGTAGACGATTCACTGTCCCCCAAAAGTACTGGAAGAATGACACAAGTTTCACCTGTAAAGTGAATCAAGGCTTCTCCAGCACCTTTGAGTCAAACTCCACAGGCAATATTTTTGGTGAGAGGAGTTACTTTGCTTTCCCTTAATGACATGTTGGGTTAATGTTTCACACTTAATTAATCAGTTTAAAATATTCAATATTTTAACTGATGCACTGATTCATCTCTCATTCAGTGAACCCATCAATGGAGCTCCTTGTGGGCCCCAGTGAAGAGTCAGGACCACAGAGACTCATATGCTCTGGATGGGGCTTCAATCCTCAAATTAAATGGTTTCATGAGTCTCAGCAAAGATCTTCTTCAACCGATGAGATCAGCATGAACGCAGATGGTCGTGTGGCAGTAACCAGTCAACTTCATATCCCTCAAACGGAGTGGAAAACAGGGAAGGTCTTCACTTGTGAAGTATCTGACAAGTCTCTGAACATAAATGTCAGAAAGGACATCAGCCTGTGCTCAGGTAAAATTAAAACATAAGGAGAGTAACAAAGTCAAGCCATGGGCCTAATGACAGTACTTTGTCCATGCAGCAAGTATTACAATGTGAACTGAGGGGTGAATTGATCATTTTTTATAGACTAGAGAGGGCAGAAGAAGCTCACAGATATACAGCCACCACCATATCCCCCACTGTTGTTAAGCTACGATTATGGCAAACAATCACTTACTTTTATATCCAGCTGAAATCAATCAACATTTACATTAATTCAAAGGTCTCTGGTCACCTGTCATATGTAAATCCAATGTTCACTGCCTTTTAGACTTTGTCAGTCATCACAAGTTGATTCACATTTCAAAAATGTCAGTTACATGAAGACAAGGATGCCCATTATCAACCTCACTTTTTGTTGTTTATAATAACTCACTTACTTCTGTAATACATCAAAACACAAATGTTGAAGCTATTCAAACTGCTACAAGTAATCACAAAATCAGTTTAAATGCTGATTGTATAGAGTAATACTTATCTCTTAAATACCTACTATCAAAAGACCTGCAGTCATAGATGTCTTTACTTAAACACTATCTCTGGTCAAACCACTAAAAGAAGAGAGCAGTTCCCTCCCATCATAAAAATTGGAATGAGACCTCAACATATTGATCTGATGTCAAAAACTCAAAGAATGTTTGCAATGATATATCCTGAGTGTCAACTAATATCAAAATCCAAACAATACAATTTTAAATCTTGCATAGAGTACATTACACAAAACATAAACATGGAAAGAGCAGTATCTCAGATATGTTCAATCTGTCCTGCACAAAAAACATATAACCACTTACATGTAATGTGGGAATTCAGACGTATTTAAAGACTTCGGAAACCACTCGTCCCACAATAAGAGGGTGTGGAGAAAATATATTTTAGAATAACATACTTCACTGGTGCTCAAATGGGGTAAGTTTAGCAGCGATAGTATTTGAGCTCCCTCTAGTGGTTCACAGATGTATGTCTAAACTTTTTCTTTTTAGTGAAATACATTCATTTAAAAACATAATACTATCAAAATACTAAAAACCTTTGAATAAAAATACTCTACTTAAACGATTAGGTGTCTGAAATGTAGTTTAAAATAAGTTTTGCATTTCTTGTAATATTTTCTGTCAATATCAGCCTGCTATCTAGTCACATTCATGCATGTCGCACGTATTTACATCCATAATTAGTCATGAGCTAAAATATGATGTTTGAGCTAGTAAGCAGAGGTACAATGAATGGTTCAAAAATACTGCAATCGTGGCTCCAAAAGGAAAATATTGGAAAGACAAGTGTGGACCAGGAGTATCTTTTTTTCCACCAAATTACTGATGTTTCTTGAACCGGTTGCATTACAGATTCAACAGCAATGAACAATAAATCATTTGCTTCTTAGGAATAAACCTGCCTCCTACGTGACCTGTCTTTAGCTGAATAGGGTCAGGCTACGTTACTGCATTTTCATGTTGGTCATAATGGTAGAATGTGAAGAGCCAAATAGTTCCTGAGGGGGTGGGCAGTGTGAAAGGCTTAATAAACACTGTGGTACTTTGTATGGATGTTGCTTCATAATTCTTTTTCTTTGTATTTTCAAGTGTCAGTTCATTCAGACTCCCCTCCTTCCATTCATGTGGAGATTCCCAGCTTCAAGACAGTAATGATGGCAACATCTGAGGTTAAAGCAACATGTTTGGTCCGCACTGGTTTTGGTGCCAAAATCACCTGGCTTATGGATGGGACAGTCTCAACCAGTAATACAGTGAGCCAGGATACAAACACGACTCACATAATAAGTAAAGTGACAATTTCCTCAAGCCAGTGGAAAAAACTGAAGCATATAACATGCAAAGCTGTCCATAAGTGCTTCTCACCCACTGAAAAGACTGTGAATGTTGCAGGTAAGACAACTATACAACATTAAAATTGAGTGTTTTGTCACAATGAAGAATGAAAACGACATTAACTTTGTTTTGTTTCCGTATCATCCAGAACCTGCAGTTACAGCTCCATTGGTTGAGATCAGGAGATCTCTCCCAGATTTGCTGAAGAGAAACAGTGCTGTGCTGGAGTGTGACATCACGCAACTCTCCTCCAGTGACCTCTATGTCACCTTTCAGGCCAATGGGGTTGACATTTCTGACAGGCAGTATGTTGATCTTCCTGAAACCCCAGGCCTCCATTCAATCAGTAGACGCTTCACTGTCCCCCAAAAGTACTGGAAGAATGACACAAGTTTCACCTGTAAAGTGAATCAAGGCTTCTCCAGCATCTTTGAGTCAAACTCCACAGGCAATATTTTTGGTGAGAGGAGTTACTTTGCTTTCCCTTAATGACATGTTGAGTTAATGTTTCACACTTAATGAATCAGTTTAAATTATTAAATTGATTAATTGATGCACTGATTCATCTTTCATTCAGTGAACCCAACAATGGACCTCTTTGTGGGCCCCAGTGAAGAGTCAGGACCACAGAGACTCGTATGCTCTGGATGGGGCTTTAATCCTCAAATTAAATGGTTTGCTGAGTCTCAGCAAAGATCTTCTTCAACCGATGAGATCAGCATGAATGCAGATGGTCTTGTGGCAGTAACCGGACAACTTCATATCCCTCAAACAGAGTGGAAAACAGGAAAGGTCTTCACTTGTGAAGCATCTGACAAGTCTCTGAACATCAATGTCAGAAAAGACATCAGCCTGTGCTCAGGTAAAATTAAAACATAAGGAGAGTAACAATGTCAAGCCATGTGCCTAATGACAGTACTTTGTCCATATGACAAGTATTACAATGTGAACTGAGGGGTGAATTGATCATTTTTTATAGACTAGAGAGGGCAGAAGAAGCTCACAGATATACAGCCACCACCATATCCCCCACTGTTGTTAAGCTACGATTATGGCAAACAATCACTTACTTTTATATCCAGCTGAAATCAATCAACATTTACATTAATTCAAAGGTCTCTGGTCACCTGTCATATGTAAATCCAATGTTCACTGCCTTTTAGACTTTGTCAGTCATCACAAGTTGATTCACATTTCAAAAATGTCAGTTACATGAAGACAAGGATGCCCATTATCAACCTCACTTTTTGTTGTTTATAATAACTCACTTACTTCTGTAATACATCAAAACACAAATGTTGAAGCTATTCAAACTGCTACAAGTAATCACAAAATCAGTTTAAATGCTGATTGTGTAGAGTAATACTTATCTCTTAAATACCTACTATCAAAAGACCTGCAGTCATAGATGTCTTTACTTAAACACTATCTCTGGTCAAACCACTAAAAGAAGAGAGCAGTTCCCTCCCATCATAAAAATTGGAATGAGACCTCAACATATTGATCTGATGTCAAAAACTCAAAGAATGTTTGCAATGATATATCCTGAGTGTCAACTAATATCAAAATCCAAACAATACAATTTTAAATCTTGTCATAGAGTACATTACACAAAACATAAACATGGGAAGAGCAGTATCTCAGATATGTTCAATCTGTCCTGCACAAAAAAACATATAACTACTTACATGTAATGTGGGAATTCATACGTATTTAAAGACTTCGGAAACCACTCGTCCCACAATAAGAGGGTGTGGAGAAAATATATTTTAGAATAACATACTTCACTGGTGCTCAAATGGGGTAAGTTTAGCAGCGATAGTATTTGAGCTCCCTCTAGTGGTACACAGATGTAAGTCTAAACTTAAAATTTTTTTGTGAATCAAAATACTAAAAACCTTTGAATAAAAATACTCTACTTAAACTATTAGGTGTCTAAAATGTAATTTAAAATAAGTTTTGCATTTCTTGTAATATTTTCTGTCAATATCAGCCTGCTATCTAGTCACATTCATGCATGTCGCACGTATTTACATCCATAATTAGTCATGAGCTAAAATATGATGTTTGAGCTAGTAAGCAGAGGTACAATGAATGGTTCAAAAATACTGCAATCGTGGCTCCAAAAGGAAAATATTGGAAAGACAAATGTGGACCAGGAGTATCTTTTTTCCACCAAATTACTGATGTTTCTTGAACCGGTTGCATTACAGATTCAACAGCAATGAACAATAAATCATTTGCTTCTTAGGAATAAACCTGCCTCCTACGTGACCTGTCTTTAGCTGAATAGGGTCAGGCTACGTTACTGCATTTTCATGTTGGTCATAATGGTAGAATGTGAAGAGCCAAATAGTTCCTGGGGGGGTGGGCAGTGTGAAAGGCTTAATAAACACTGTGGTACTTTGTATGGATGTTGCTTCATAATTCTTTTTCTTTGTATTTTCAAGTGTCAGTTCATTCAGACTCCCCTCCTTCCATTCATGTGGAGATTCCCAGCTTCAAGACAGTAATGATGGCAACATCTGAGGTTAAAGCAACATGTTTGGTCCGCACTGGTTTTGGTGCCAAAATCACCTGGCTTATGGATGGGACGGTCTCAACCAGTAATACAGTGAGCCAGGATACAAACACGACTCACATAATAAGTAAAGTGACAATTTCCTCAAGCCAGTGGAAAAAACTGAAGCATATAACATGCAAAGCTGTCCATAAGTGCTTCTCACCCACTGAAAAGACTGTGAATGTTGCAGGTAAGACAACTATACAACATTAAAATTTAGTGTTTTGTCACAATGAAGAATGAAAATGACATTAACTTTGTTTTGTTTCCGTAACATCCAGAACCTGCAGTTACAGCTCCATTGGTTGAGATCAGGAGATCTCTCCCAGATTTGCTGAAGAGAAACAGTGCTGTGCTGGAGTGTGACATCACGCAACTCTCCTCCAGTGACCTCTATGTCACCTTTCAGGCCAATGGGGTTGACATTTCTGACAGGCAGTATGTTGATCTTCCTGAAACCCCAGGCCTCCATTCAATCAGTAGACGCTTCACTGTCCCCCAAAAGTACTGGAAGAATGACACAAGTTTCACCTGTAAAGTGAATCAAGGCTTCTCCAGCACCTTTGAGTCAAACTCCACAGGCAATATTTTTGGTGAGAGGAGTTACTTTGCTTTCCCTTAATGACATGTTGAGTTAATGTTTCACACTTAATTAATCAGTTTAAAATATTCAATATTTTAACTGATGCACTGATTCATCTCTCATTCAGTGAACCCATCAATGGAGCTCCTTGTGGGCCCCAGTGAAGAGTCAGGACCACAGAGACTCATATGCTCTGGATGGGGCTTCAATCCTCAAATTAAATGGTTTCATGAGTCTCAGCAAAGATCTTCTTCAACCGATGAGATCAGCATGAATGCAGATGGTCGTGTGGCAGTAACCAGTCAACTTCATATCCCTCAAACGGAGTGGAAAACAGGGAAGGTCTTCACTTGTGAAGTATCTGACAAGTCTCTGAACAAAAATGTCAAGAAAGACATTAGCTTCTGCTCAGGTAAAATTAAAACATAATCCACGTTCATATGAATCCATTAAGTTGAGAATAAATACATAAATAGTATTTCTGAATCATCCATTAAGCATTTGAAAAATTTTTCCTCAAAATCATTACTTGAAAGGTACATTTTCTCACCAATTGATATCATGTTCTTATTTCAGTCACTCCAACATCTACTCAGATAGGTGCCGTATTTGTTCAGGGATCACCACTCCAGGAGATTCAGAATAAGGGACAGGTGACTATCACTTGTCTTCTGGTCGGTCCTTCTCTAATTGATTTCTCCATCACTTGGAAAATCAGTGGTAAGAAATATTCTCACAATGTCCATACGGAGCCACCAGTGAGTCACAGCAATGGGACGGAGACTTTGAGGAGTTTCCTAAATGTGTCAGTGGAGGATTGGCATGCATTTAAACAAGTGTCTTGTGAAGGAAAGCACCGATGTTCCAACCATGGCTTCGAGGACCATATAAGCAAAAGCAGAGGTAATGTTCCATATAAATTATTATTTTTGATTTCTTGTAGCTGTTTCTGATTTGTAGGATATACCGACAAGATTGCCTTCTTAACTCCCCATTAAAAAAAATTTTTACTTTTTTTTACTTTGTGTTTCTCAAGATGTGCAACCACCAACAGTGAAAATTATACAACCTACTGCCGCCGAGTTGTCTACGTCAGACGTCTTCACACTTGTTTGCCTCGTTTCGGGATTTTTCCCATCTAACCTCATAGTATACTGGAAAGTGAAAGGCCAGACACTCCCTTCAACTCGCTACACCAACAGTCCTGCATGGAAATACACAGGGAGCAGTACTTATTCAATGAGCAGCAGACTGAATGTATCCAAAACTGAGGACAAAGACTCTACGTACTCCTGTGTTGTCAAACATGAGTCATCTGAAACACCTTTTGAAAGCACTATAAAGGATGTGTTTGGTGAGTATTTCGTAAAATAGCAGTTCACTAGTGTTGTTCATTACATCGTAGTAGAGATGTCCCGAGCCGATCTTTAGAATCGGTATCTCTCCTTTCTCTTTCTTATTAGCAAATGTGTCACTTTCACCATTTAAAATGACAAACACCAGCAGGTCATCTCAGCTGTCCCTAGTTTACATTGAATCTGTGAGTTGATTGTCATATCCTTGAAGTCATCTCCTTTCCAGTCGATCGCTTCACATCAATTTCCGGAGTCACCTTCTTCCAGTTAAACTTTCCTTAGTGCATCATATTTTGAAGGCTACAGTTGTTTCATTTCAATGTAGCAAATAATTATTTAAACAACATTAAGGTAAATATAGGTACTGGATTGACTAGTCTAGCCTTTTAAAATCCTGGGATCAGGATAGGGCTAAAAACAAAAACTTGATTGGAATATTCCTACATAGTAGATTCATAGTAGATCTCAGATCTCAGTGTTGCTCAATAGCAGTCTTGTTAACACAAAAGTTAAGAAGAAAATGAACATTCTGCTTTCTGCTGTACTCATAGTTAGTGACATAAAGTAAAAGAACACTGTATGAGACTAAGATGACTCTTGTATTGATTTTTCAGATGTTAAGAAATGTTTTTCTCTGTTGTTCTCTTTTCTGTAGCTACTGTCACAGTGACACTGAACCAACCAAGTGCCAAAGAAATTTTCAGTAACAACGAGGTAAAGTTGGAGTGCATCGTCACTGGACGAGACAAGTCCATTGTAGATGAAATCCAAGTCACTTGGCAAATTGATGGACAAACTGTGGCAGAAAACATTACAGAATCAACAGTATCATCCGAAGGTGATCGGCACAGCAAAACCAGCACAATGACTCGTACTCGCACTGAGTGGCAGGGAGTCAACAAAGTGCGCTGTTCTGCTGCTAGAGAAGACATGACTACAGTTGTTCAAGATCTCACTGTCCAGAAAGGAGGTATGTTTCTGACTGATGGAGACTTATTGGTAGAACAGTATTCCGTAAGTCTGGGGAGGTAGCCAACCTACACATACAAACATTTCACTAGCTATATACAGCAAACATAAAGCTTATATATGGACCTCCCTGGTAAACTGAGTATCTCTTTCAGATATAAGTAAGACAAAAGTGACAGTCCACGTTCTACCAGAAGAAGTCATTAAAGAAGCTGAGGTCAGTCTGGTGTGTCTGGTCTCCAGTCCTGTGCTGCAGGATTCCTACATCGCCTGGTCAGAAAACATTGGAAAATCCCCTGGCATCTATAAGGATGGCATTAACTTCCCCCCACAGAAGACCAAGGATGGCTACTTAGTAACAAGTGTTTACACCACGTCCAAGGCAAAGTGGGAGACCACTGGGAACACGTTTGAGTGCAACGTCTGGGTTGCTGGCAGCAATTCGTCCATGAAACCACGAGCTGTGTCTAAGGCCCAGGGTAACTCCCTTGAATGTGACAAATAGCAGATTGAGCTTTAAATGTGGCATTTTGTGCTGATGTGTTGTTCCGTCATTGTGTGTACTCTCTGCCATGGGAACCTGTGCACTCTGTGATGTCATCAGTCTTTGTGATTGTAAGAAATAATCAGAGTCAACATGTCAGTTTAGTTTTGTTTGTTTGTGTTTCAATCTGTCTTTGTCACAATGTTTAACAGCTTGAGAAGTGTGCTGACTGTTTCAAATAAATGTTGCATGGGGACCCTTGTGTTACATGTTCATGAATTACTTCAGTATTTTAAAACAAGCTGAAAACAGTATACAGTGACTCTGTATACTGTTCTCTTCCACTGTTCAACTGGAGAAATGTCCACACAAGACGTGTGATCAAAAAGCGAATAATGCGCGATTCCAGTTTATGAGCACTATTCAGAAGAGACAAACGTATATCAGTTATCTTAGTAAAAATCAGTGTTTACACACACACACACACACACACACACACACACACATACACCTCTCTCATCTAACCACCTATACCTTCCTCTTCTTAGATTTTGATCCAGAGTCAGAACTGAGTTGTGCTCTGAGCTGCACAGATGAAGAGGATGAGTTCAGCAGTCTGTGGTCCACAGCCTCCTCCTTCATATTCCTCTTCATATCTTCTCTCTTCTATAACATGATATTCAGCCTGGTCAAGGTAAACATGCAGGCCTGTTCTGCATTTCAGTCATACTAAAACCTCTGTAGGATATAATACAGAATTTATATATTCACTGAAAATAAGTAAACAGTTTGATCAAATAAAGCTCAGTCAGGTAAACAATAAAAATCACAAACATAAAAGACAGTTTTATGCAGTAATGCAAATGAATGCATCCATTTATAAAACCTAACAAAAGAGACAAAAACCAGAACAATTTAAACTGATTATCACCAATATATCAACGGTTAATTGACACCAAATCATTGTTTCTGACTGGTGTATTACTCTATGTGCCAATAACATCGTGATAAAGTAAAAATGTGACAACTGGGATATTTCAGCTTTATTGTGCTGATTTTGATAAACACAGTTTGACAGTAAAGTGACGTAAAATGCATCACTTCATTTCACTGCCTCTGTTCTGAAGTTGAGCACAGCCAACCAGCACATGTGCCCGATCAACATCTAGCAGCAGCAGAGTGAAGAGTGTCTCCAACCAGAGAAAATGTGCTGGTTTGTGTGTTTTAAATGCTCCACGGCACATACATAGATATTAACAATTAATTGAATTAAACACATTACAGATAGCATCTTTATGTAACACATCAACAATAGTGAAGCTGTCCTGCATGAGGATGAAGCTTGTCATACTAATAAGTTTGTTTTTAAGTTCTTAAGAAATGTTATTAAAATGAACCAATCATCCAGCCCAACAGTTAATATAATTGTTATAGAACATCAGTGCAGTGAATCTGCTGGCCACAACTATCGACTGTATAGAAGAGCTGGGGGAACTCCAGATTGAAGTGGTCAAGCAAACTGTGCAACTTTGACAAATTAATATAATATATTTAATTGATTTATGTTCTGTTTTTTTTTTTCAGATGAAGAAATAATAAAGAAGGAGAGAGATGCACAGTGAGACAGACTGCATGACTTTGTTTGTTTTTTGTCTTTTTTATGTAGTTTTAAAAACGTGCAAAATCGATAATATACTGTAAATATTCCAAATCAAATGGTTCTCATGTAATGATTGACTGAGTCAGTGAAAATGGATTTCTCTGCAACCTGTAAAACTCAAAAATATAACTGTAATTCCTAATTGTTTAAATAAATGAATAAATATGTGCACTGTTGTTACATTATGTTTACAGAAGTTCTCAAGTACTTTACACTTTAAGTGCCATTAACATGTGCTAGTGAAGTGTAGTATCAACTTTTAATTGATACATTAATAACAGATTTTACTGAAGTAGAAATAGATACATTCTGTCTGTGGTTATTCACATTGGTCATTTTGTTGATCCTATTTGCTTTCAATAGATATGATATTTACAATGTTTGTACAGCCTTTAAAAGTGAATATGAATATGAGTGATAGTGGACTTGTGACAAACATAAAGGGCTTTTGAGGATTTTGTCGTCGTTTGAGTCACAACTCTAGAACATCTAAAATAACACAACATCAAGTCAACATACCATGAACTTCTGTTATCAGTTACGCTCTGAAGGTTTTTCAATTTCCTGGCCTTTCTAAACATATCCTCTTTAGAGAGTCACTTCCCTCCTCTCTCTGCACCTCTGGGACCACACCTGTGGCAGCGAAACTTTGTAGAAACCATCAGATGAGCTACAAATAAACTTCCTCAAAGACTCATCTTTCACAGCACATATATTTGCATCTCAGCATGTATCCAGGCGTGAATTGGCTGACATGCAAACAGCACACTCACATCTTCACAGACAGAAGCAACACCAAAGTCTTCAGAAAAGTTTCATTTTAAGCATTTTCTATATCAAATAGACAGAATTTTATAAGCTCATCAAACAATATAACAGTAACTGCAGGACATGCAGCATACATAAATACCAGATACAGTATATCTGTATATTATTATGCTGGTTGTGTTACTGTATAATGCAGAGCGTTTAAGTTCATGATTGATTTAGAGATTAATAGTTTCATATTAGTGTTCTTGTATCTAGAACATCATGGCAGCACACAGCAGAAGGGGCTGGAAGTCTTTGAGCCTTTGTGAGTTGTGTTTGTCCTTCTAACTAGTTTCTTTTAGTATCATCTGGGGAGTGTCATTCACTGCCACTGCTTGACTGGGATATAATAAGAGAGTGCAGTCTACCAGGAACTTGTAGATGCCACTAAAGATTTGATTCCTGAAAACACTTCAGCATCTTTACTGAATGCATTCATAACATCCTAAGCAGATTGGGGAGGAGTACAGATCACCGTTGATACTGTTATTATTTGAAAATGATGGACTTTCATTCATTGTAACACAGATGATGAGCATGATTTTTCCACTATGTATTTGCTTGTCTCTGATTTGTTGCATATATCAGGTGATTGCTTAAAAAAGAAGATACAGGTTTTAACAGTCAAAATTGTGGGTGCACTTTAACAAACTGTATGAAGAAAATGAAAAAGAAAATCAGTTGTGTGTAAGGGAGGTAACAACATAAAGGAACTGCATATTGCAAAAATATGGCATTCCATTATTATATAATTACTTGTGTATACTTACTTTTTTGCCAGTGTAAAAATAGATACCATACCAGGTTACTTTTAATGCACATGTAAAATGAGGTTTGCACCGCTTGAACTGCCAGAGACTGACAGATGGCCTATCTAATAAACCCATTCAGTAAATGTATTTATGTTTTTATTCTTTTAAATGTATTTATTTATTTATTTTTCAGGTGTTTATAAAAATCATCTGGTGCTGCAAATGATTCATTCAGAAATATAATTCAACCGGCACTTGTCCTTCAAACTCACTATAAAAATATGCTGATATTACCAAGCTCCCAGATGAGCAACCAAGGGTTTTTCTTTATGTCAGCTGGTAGAGGGACATTTTGGTTTAAATATCAGCTGGATAATATAAGTCAGAAACATGAGTACAGACTACCATCTAGTGGCAAAGGCTTGGTAAAGAATAAATTATCTGTCATGCAGTAAATGGAAGGTTGTGATTGGAAAAATAAACACTTGAATGTGAGAAGATTAAAATATATTGTTTTATTTTTTTGACAGATATATGGATGAAATCATTATAAGGTAAAAAAAAAAAAAAAAAAAAAAATCCATTCAATTCCTTTATCCCAGTCCAATAGGACTAAAACTTATCCCAACATTCTTATTCAGGGCAAGAAAACAAGTCCATCACAGACTGATAAACACAGACAATTAACTCTCACAGTCACTTTCCCTATAACGGACAATATGGAGGTTTTATCCAACTGCACCTAATAACCTTTTAGCACGAACAGAAAAACACACAGTAATGAGCCATCGGTGAGACTTGTTGTTGTGGAGTGACACTTTTAATTGGTAAAAGATTTGATTTGTTTTCCATATTGACATAAATATGTTTAACTATTCAATATTTTCTAGACTTTAATGTCACTAGAACAACTGTAATGAGTTGTAATGTTTTTTAATATTGTGTTTTTAAGTATTTAATAACTGCTTGTATGTATAGAGGCCATTCTCCTTTCCTTGTAACTATATTCCACCATACAGTATCTTAGACATCCAGTGGAACTAAGACCATGCCAACAAAGCCCTTTGACCACTGAGGCTGTCTATTCAAACGTGGCCATGAGCAGTGCTATTTCCCGAAGCAATGTGCAGCAAACACAACGTGCAGTGTGGTGGAAACATTTACAGGTCGTATGACTCATTGTCCTGTTTCATACAATAATAAATAACAAAATCCAATACTTTAAAACAGGGATCCCAAACTCAAACTGTCTTGGGCCACTGCTGGTATTGTCATCTCATAGGAGGGCCACTTCAACATTCATGTACTAAAAGAAAAACAAAATCTGAAAATATTTCCATTTCTAGCATCATACTTGTGGGCACTTTTGACCATGGACGTTATTTTGTGCCAATTATTTTACTTGTATATGAAGGGGTAGTTTAAATATTTATAGTTAGTAGTATGTAGTTTTATACTATATTATTATGTTGCAGGCCGGAGGGACGGGGATGAAGGGAAATGGCCCTGAGGCTGACAGTTTGAGATCCCTGCTTTAAAAGTAGCTCATAGAACCAAATTTATGCACGCTTACATTAAAAGCCATTCACTGTATTTGCATTTACAATCTGTGTTTGCTTAATGTCTGATGTACAGCAGCTGATAACACGCAACCAAAGGACTGGATTGCCCTCTGACTGCAGTCTGCCAGTGAAGTTGAGCTTAAAGATAAAGTGGAAAAGCTTGCTTGTGCTGCCATCTACTGGCCTCTATGTGTTCTGCCCCTACTAGGTAGAGTACAGTATTTCTTTTTATTATTAATGTCTGATGCTACTTCACAGCCAGGTGTGGTCACAAGTGCAAAAGACTTTTTTTTTTTTTTTTTTTTTTTTTATTATAAGTGTGCAACTTTTAATTTCAGTGGTGGGATTTATGTCATGACTGTTTGTGTTTCAAGCAATAAAAATGTATAGTTGCTAAAATATTTATTGAGTGATTCTTCTACCACTGAGGAAAAACCTGTACATTCATCTTCCTGTAAAATAATACTATCCCATTAAAAAGCACACACCCAACACTGACACCAGAAGACATGGAAGCAGATGGCACTGATGTCTCCCTATTCCAAAGTTAGCTTCAGTCAAATGCATTCTTGTAAGTGCCTTACCATAATGCTGTAGCAGATCAGTGACTGTCTACCATCCCTGTCTGCTCTCCGATTATCCGTTATAAAATGTTAAAATGATACTGTGGTCACATTTAGTGTTCACTTGTTCAGCAGAAGCTGCTTCAGTAGAGGCTTTAATCAGATCTAATCATATCATGCTGAAAAACTAAACAAACAGAGAATTTCACCCTCTTATTTTATTTTATTTTTTTACTTCACTCCTTTATCTAAACCAGCTCAATTGAAAACTGCATTGTTTTTACTGACAAAGTTAAAAACAATGTGGTCTCATTCCAGTGTGGTAAGGTTTTGGTAAGTGCTTGTGTCACTGTGGTACTACAGTAGTAGCTACGGTTACAGCACTGTGTTACACACCATAACAAAAACTATGTTGAGAGACTAAACTGTATCCCTTCTGTTAATCATAAATTAAGTAAGGCTACAGATGAATGACCAATGAGAATATCATATTTCTGTCAAATGATATATTAGTGTTGTTAGAATACATTTCACAATTATGGAAATAGCACAGTAATAATTGTGCAATAAGACAAATCACTGACTGTGGTTATATGCAGACAGATTTTGTTAGTGACGACAATTCTAAACCGGCAAAACCTATACAATGCACAGTTATAAAATGTAATTCAATTCAATACGATGGTGTTTGTTAACCCTGTTACACTGTTGATTTAACTCTGTGGTAATTCATAATGTAATAGTAGTGCAGTCATATTTCATTAAACTGGGAAGTGTTTCCTATATTCTCATTTGTACTACTTCCCTACCTCAACACTTTAAACAGTTTTTGTATATTTATATACTGGTCAAACAGAAAAAAACTGTACTGGTGGGCTGCCATACAATACTGTATATGATAGTTCTACATAACAAATATAGCATTATGTCTTTGCTGACACTGTAGAGGAGCACACAAATGTTCACTAGGATTAGCTGCTGAAAAACATTAAACATTAGCACATGTTGTGTTTTCAAAATCAAATTATTATTCCTGCCATTGAACAATGTAAATTCATAAAAACAAAAACAAAAACAGGTACTTACAACGGTCATAAAAGTCCCACAGTAATTTCTATTTTTGAATTATGTAAATGAAAAGAGACAGAGCTGGAGCATTGCGTATTGCAGAGAAGGATATGACAACTACACTGTGGCAAAGGTTGTTGCATTGTGGTGTTTCACTGTGTACTGGGGTGGCCACAGTGATTCACACACTTACAAAAACCTCAAGAGAGGTATAGTTCTTTGTACTGTAAATGAAAGGTGTATGTAAACCCCCAGTGCAACCGTAAGAGTCTCATTAATATACAGTCAGGCCAAGTAAACAAAAATTCTGGATATTTACGATTTTAAAGACTTCACCCAACCTTTGGATGATGAAACTATATTTAGTGTTAATATATATAATGATATCAGAAATAAATACATTAATAATTTATAAATAAACAGCCATATTTATGTTTGTTGTGTCTTGTAATAGTGGAGCTTTTTTCAAGAATATATACATAACTACCACTCATAAATAAACAAATAGTAAAAAGAAATTGATGATAATTCCAATCACATAGGCTATTGTGTCCTTAACATTACTAAAATAATATGGAAAAACTCTGTTGCTTAAGGTTACAGCATTTTTGTATCATGAAAGCAAGTGTGCAGGGTGGAGTTTTTGTATGGAGTCATGTCACAGTGCACTATAACAACCACAGCGATACATCCTGTAACAAAAACCTCCTTCCACTGAGAAGGAAATGTGGTACTGAATCGAAAAACAAGTAGGTGAGATATGTGTCCAATAATAATCTGGTCTTACACAAAGGGTTGTGTTAGCATCATTTACAGTATATATATATATATATATATATAGTGTTAGCAAATAATGAGCTTAAATGTGATGTAGTTTCCTTAACACACAGCAGATCATGTAAATATTCAACAATATTACTTGTTCAATATTCAAATGTTCAACAGGTAATACGCCTAAAAGTGGCACAGTTGCGCTTTACATGTTTGCACGTTTACATCCACATGCTAACATGCTCACAATGACAATGCTAAGCTGCCGATGTAAGTATATATATATATATATATATATATATATATATATATATATATACATTTTTATGACATGCACCATCTTAGTTGAGTATGTTATAGTTGTCAAGGTATTTCACAAAAAAAGTCAAAAATGTCGACCTGCTGGTGGCACTAGAGGAAAAGTCAGGGGACGAACAGAGTCATTATGATTCATCATCTGGGGACCATGAACGTCTGAACAACTACTTCAAATAGTTGTTGAGATATTTCAGCCTGAACCAAAGTGGTAGACAGACCAACATGCCAACTTTGCATCCCTAGATCCATGCCTCTCATTTTTTTTCTTTTAAGAACATATAATAATTATGGTTCAAAGGGTAAAATTAAAAATAAAATTGTGAAAGTTATTTCATGATTTTCATACACACAGTACAAAAAACTGAACACACACAGGCAGAAGTTTTTGTATGAGTATGTGACACTGTGTATGGAATAGCAACCACAGTGATATGTGGTAATACAAAAACCTGTCCTGAACTGAAGTGAAGCACAAAGTCACTGTGACTCAAGGAGAAGTTTTACTCTGAAAAAACGGGAAAATCATGATTATTGTTTTATATGAGCAAAGATTTATTTGTTACTATTTAATATACTTAACACAGGAGAAAGACAGGCGTGTGACTACTTCCAGTTAATATGAAATCAGCTTATTTAAAGTGCATTTGTAATGTGAGCTAATGGTTAAGCTCAGGATTTAATGGTCAAAAACATTAATATTGCTAAAAATAATTATTTTAACACATTATTGTAGACACATGAAGTGTTAAACTAAAGATGACAGTTTGTGTTAGGACACCCAAACTTTGGATGATATGCCTGAAATCTTCACGTCAGACCCCTTGTTTTATGGTATAGTAAATTCACTGCATAATGTAGATCAATACCAATATTTACGTTTCCTAATTTATTGTATTATTGTCAATAAACTAATATGAAAAACACTATAGTTAAAGTAACGTGGTAATTGTGTCTTGTGAAGGCCAGTGTGCAGGGTGGAGTTTTTGTATGGAGGAATAGCACAGTGCCGGATACTATAGCAACCACAGTGATATATCCTGTGACAAAAACCTCTTTCCAATAAGAAGGAAATGCTGTGTATGATGCTGATACAGAAACACACTAGTAGTTGAGACTGCTTTCTACTGCCTTCATGTGTTCAGCCAATGTGTTCTACACAAAGGGTTGTATTAGGACATCATGAGCTTAAATGTGGTGCAGTTTCCAAAATTGATCATATAAATACTCACAAAGTAGGTCAAAAGCTGTAATGTTCCTTTATGGTCCCAGTGTATACTTAAATATAATGAATGGTCTTGCTGAGTTTAAGAGTTGAAAATACTGAACACACACCGTATCAGGCAGAGGTTTTTGTACAAGTATCTGACACTGTGTATGGGTGGCAACCACAGTGATATGTGGTAATACAAAAACCTGTCTGAACTGAAGTGAAGACAAGTCACTGTGACTCGAGGGTTTTACTTTGAAAAACTGGAAACTCATAACACCTCGAATTTATTTTTTAGCTTTGTATGAGCAAGATAATTCTATTTAATATATTTAACACAGGGAAGACAGGCGTGTGACTACTTACATTAATGTGACATCGCTTATTTAAAGTGCATTTTAAATGTGAGCTAATGGTTAAGTTAAGGGTTTTGTCCATTAGGAGAAATGAATGGTCAAAATCATTAATATTGCTACAAATAATTATTTTAATACATCATTGTAGACACATGTGTTAAACTAAAGATGACAGTTTGTGTTAGGACACCCAAACTTTGGATGATATGCCTGAAATCTTCACGTCAGACCCCTTGTTTTATGGTACAATAGTTTTGCTTCTTACTCAAATTATAGGTGGATGTCATTAGTCCATGGATCCACTCCATAATGTAGATTAATAACAATTTTTATGTTTTTTATTTATTGTATTATTATATATATATATATATACACAAAGTAAGTCAAAAAAACTGTAATGTTATTTTATGGTTCCATAGTATATTTAAATATAATAAATACTCCTGCTGAGTTTAAAGAGTACAAAATACTGAACACACACCATATCAGGCAGAGGTTTTTGTATGAGTATGTGACACTGTGTACCTGGGGGGGTGGCCACAGTGATATGTGGTAATACAAAAACCTATCTTAAGCTGAAGTGAAGCACAAAGTCACTGTGACTCAAGAAAAAGAGACATTTACAAAAGCATTTTCCACATTTATTAGACACTGAAGAAAGGTGATAATGAATAGAATAGTGGAAGGTCAAATTGCATTTATGTATGTAAAAATCTTTTTAAATATTAATACTTCAGAAAAGCTCATTCTTGTTCGCATGTTTTATGTCAGCAAAGATAATACATTTCACATAGAAAAAAAAAAAAAAAAAAACAGAATCATCCTGTCAGAGCGTACTGATCTTGTTTTATGCTACAGGAGTTTTGTTTCTCATTGAAATAAGGTCCATACCATTTGTCATTTGTAACATTATTTTATGTGCTTGTTTTATTGTATCATCATAAGTGTGAATCCATTTCCTGGAGAGACTAAATGAAAAAATAAAGAAGAATTGAAAGAGAACTTTCACTGCTGATTCCTTTCACATGAATACATCTTCAACATTACTTGTTAAACTAGTATGAAAAACTATATAGTTAAAGTAAGAAAGCATAATTGTGTGTTGTGATAGCCAGTGTGCAGGGTGGAGTTTTTGTATGAAGTCATATCACAGTGCAGCATATAGCAGCGGCCACAGTGATATATGCTGTGACAAAAACCTCCTTCCACTAAGAAGGAAATGTGGTGCTGATACAGAAAACAGGTAGGTGAGATATGTGTCCAATCATAATGTGTGTCAACATCATTGAGCTTAAATGTGATGTAGTTTTCTTAACACACAGCAGATCATGTAAATATTCAACAATATTACCTGTTGAATATTTAAATGTTCAACAGGTAATACGCCTAAAAGTGGCACAGTTGCGTTTCACATGTTTGCATGTTTACATCCACATGCTAACATGCTCACAATGACAATGCTAAGCTGCCGATGTTTAGCATATGTATTTTTTTGTGATGTTCACCATCTTAGTTGAGCATGCTATTGTTGTCAAGGTATTTCACAAAAAAGCCAAAAATGTGGACCTGCTGGTGGCGCTAGAGAAAAAGTCAGGGGATGAACAGAGTCATTATGATTCATCATCTGGGGACCATGAACATCTGAACAAAACTTCA